TGGGAGCACTACTCAGTGGCAAGCCAACTTAGCTCCAAAAGAAATGGCCGCCTCTGACATGAGGAACAGATGCTATGTGCAGCTGCTCCTAACATGGAGTACAAACACTGCTCATCCTGAATCCCTGGATTTAGGAGCCCTTACAGGGTACTATCAGCCGGGCCAGCTGAACCCAGGTTTTTTAGTGAGCTTGTTACTGCTCCCCCTCCTCCTTTTTTCATCCGGGCTTGGGACCGGCAAAGGCGGAGTTGTGAGAACATATAAAAGAATAAAACCTATAACAATAAGTAAACAATTACAAGAAAATAAAACCTAATTCAAATAATTTAATAAGCGTGTGACGTTCCGGTAACAGCATTGTTACCATCATCAGACAAAAGAATAAATGGAAACAAAAGAATAAATATCTTTTATTCTTTTATTTGATGATGGTAACAATGTTGTTACTGAAACGTCATACACTATTAAATTATTTGGATTAGGTCTTATTTTCTTGTATTTGTAATCTATAATCCAAATTGTACTTTATCAATAGTAAGCAAAGAGAAACTTCTTCTTCTTACGGTTAACGCCTATTTACTTGTGATCTTACACATATACTCTGTGGGAACAATTAATTAATTAAACTTAAAATATGATAAAGCACAATTTTTGGATTATATAGATTATAGCTACAAGAAAATAAGGCCTAATCCAAATAAATAGAGGTTTCGGTAACATCGTTGTTACCATAATCAGACAAAAGAATAAATTTATTGTTCATTATTTTATATATATTCATTTATTCTTTTGTCGTCTTTTGACGTCTATTTTGACGGGAGAGGTGACCTTTGTCTTTATAGATCAATTTACTCCCGGCAAAATTTCCATCTATATTTTGACCATAGATTTGGCCCAGCCACTTAGCCAGCTAAACATCTCTTTGGTGGATTGTGAAGATTCTATTAGACCCCTTGTGGATCTCATGGAATTAAAGTCCACCCTAGACTGATGAGGGCCATCAGCCCGAAACCATGGTCTCTAGGTGGACACTTCTCAGTTTTCCAAAGCTGGTGTTGTGGCTTTGTCACTGACCTGAGGCCGCTAGTTTGCGGCGATGGTCAATAAATGGCGTCTAGCTTTGACGTCTATTTTAACGGGAGAAGCGACCTTTGTCTTTCCTTATATCTTTGCTGCCCCATTTCAAAGATAATTTCATAAAATTGATGTTTTTTTTTTTTGCAGATGGGCTTAAATCCATACTCACCTGAATTTGTTCCGGGACAGGTGAGTATTATTTTATTTTTTTCATTTCATTCATTTTACTTTTCTCTTCATTAATAATTTTATGTTTTTTTTTTTTATATGAAAAGTATTTCTTTTTTTTTTTTAGGTAAGGGAGTGTGTACAATAGAAGCTCCATGAGAGGACACCACTCTACAAAGGATATTGTTCATTGCCAAAATGAACCCTAAAAGACACTTTGGCTCTGCAAATTGGTGTCCTTTACAGAGAGAGGTTCTACTGTATTTTAAAATATTTTAGGAAGGGTGCACATTTAAAAAAAAAAAAATTTAAAATGTGTATATTAGGGAATTTGGAAACAAATAAACTGTTAGTCAAACAACACTGGCAGCTATGAAACAATGGAAGCTGCATAACAATGGCAGCTATGCAACAATGGAAGCTTCACAATACTGGCAAGTATGCAACAATGGAAGCTGCATAACACTGGCAGCTATGCAACAATGGAAGCTTCACAATACTGGCAGCTATGAAACAATGGAAGCTGCATAACACTGGCAGCTATGCAACAATGGAAGCTTCACAACACTGACAGCTATGCAACAATGGAAGCTACACGATACTGGCAGCTATGTAACAATGGAAGCTTCACAACACTGACAGCTATGCAACAACAGAAGCTACACGATATTGGCAGCTATGCAATAATGGAAGCTGCATAACACTGGCAGCTACACAATACTGGCAGCTATGCAACAATGGAAGCTGCACAACACTGACAGCTATACAACAATGGAAGCGTCACAAAACTGCATACTGCATAACACTGGCAGCTTCACTGTACAACAGGCAACCTCACCACATTGGCAGCTACACGATACTGGCAGCTATGCAACAAGGGAAGCTACACAGTACTGGCAGCTATGCAACAATGGAAGCTACACAATACTGACAGCTATGTAACAATGGAAGCTTCACAATTCTGGCAGCTATGCAACAATGGAAGCTACACAATACTGGCAGCTATGCAACAATGGAAGCTACACAATATTGGCAGCTATGCAACAATGGAAGCTACACAATACTGGCAGCTATGCAACAATGGAAGCTGCACAATATTGGCAGCTATGCAACAATGGAAGCTGCACAATACTGACAGCTATGTAACAATGGAAGCTTCACAATTCTGGCAGCTATGCAACAATGGAAGCTACACAATATTGGCAGCTATGCAACAATGGAAGCTACACAATACTGGCAGCTATGCAACAATGGAAGCTGCACAATATTGGCAGCTATGCAACAATGGAAGCTACACAATACTGGCAGCTATGCAACAATGGAAGCTACACAATACTGGCAGCTATGCAACAATGGAAGCTGCACAATACTGGCAGCTATGCAACAATGGAAGCTACACAATATTGGCAACTATGCAACAATGGAAGCTGCACAACACTGGCAGCTATGTAACAATGGAAGTTTCACAATACTGGCAGCTATGCAACAATGGAAGCTACACAATACTGGCAGCTATGCAACAATGGAAGCTGCACAACACTAGCAGCTACATAACAATCCTTGCTACACAACAATGACATCTATGCAACAATGGCAGCTACACAACAATGATGCTAAACAATTTTGGCAGCTTTGCAAAGATGGTAGTTATATAACGCTGAAAGCCACACAAAATTCTCAGCTACAAAAAAAAATTAAATAAAGTTTGAGGTAAAAGGCAAACCATTTATTATAATTTATTTTAAAAAAGTCACAGATTTTTTCATATAAATGAAATTATGACAACTGATTGCTAACCACATAGTTATTTTTAAAATGTTCAATTACAGAGGCAGAAAACAGTTATGCGACTTGTGAGTGAATAAGCATATTGTCATACAGTGCCATTCTACCATTCTCTGCCAAAATCGATCAAAAGAGTTGTTATTGTGATACCCACTGCATGCGCAAGTTCAAAACAAATGAATTTTAAACCTTTTTACTCTTTTCAAATTAACAAGTTAAACATTTTAAAATATAAGTGCAGTCTACACACTCTTTCTATATACCTCTCATTGATTCTATAACACAGAATAATGGTGATTCCAGCAGTAACCTGATGACTACATTTACATATATACATATATATATATATATGATGTATGTAAATATGTATTTACGTATATATATATGTATATGAAAAATAAGAAGAAAAAAGTATATAAATTATATAAATGTTGTAAAAAAAAAAAAGCTATCTCATCTTAGAAAATCTATCATAACATAATGTGTAAAAATGTGTACCAAAAGTGGAACCTCTCCCTTTTAAAAATGCATTAAAACTTTGTAATTTTGGTTCATTGTGATGTAAGGAAATGTGCTGCAACAGCAGTTTGTGAAAATTCAGACAAAAGTCAACAACCAATATCCCAAAAATGATGTTTTTGAGGCAGGTAAAGAGGATTGGCAGAAAATATCAGGCCAGAATATAATAACACTTCTCCCTGAGAGGACACCAACGCTAGAGGACACATCTCTATAAAGGACAGTTTTCATTTGAAAAATAACCTAACAGTTTTACTAATTAGCAATTCTCCGGTAAGAGGACACCTCTCTACAAAGGACAGTTTTTATTTCCGAAATAACCATTTTTACTATTTAACAACTCTCCGGTAAGAGGACACCTCTCTACAAAGGACAGTTTTTATTTCCGAAATGACCATTTTTACTATTTAACAACTCTCCGGTAAGAGGACACTTCTTTACAAAGGAGAGTTTTTATTTCCGAAATGACCATTTTTAATATTTAGCAACTTTCCGGTAAGAGGACACCTCTCTACAAAGGACATTTTTTATTTCCAAAATGGCCATTTTTAATATTTAACAACTCTCCGGTAAGAGGACACCTCTCTACAAAGGACATTTTTTATTTCCGAAATGACCATTTTTTACTATTTATCAACTCTCCGGTAAGAGGACACTTCTCTACAAAGGACAGTTTTTATTTCCGAAATGACCATTTTTACTATTTAACAACTCTCCGGTAAGAGGACACTTCTCTACAAAGGACAGTTTTTATTTCCGAAATTACCATTTTTACTATTTAACAACTCTCCGGTAAGAGGACACTTCTCTACAAAGGACAGTTTTTATTTCCGAAATTACCATTTTTACTATTTAACAACTCTCCGGTAAGAGGACACTTCTCTACAAAGGACAGTTTTTATTTCCGAAATGACCATTTTTACTATTTAACAACTCTCCGGTAAGAGGACACTTCTCTACAAAGGACATTTTTTATTTCCAAAATGACCATTTTTTTACTATTTAACAACTCTCCGGTAAGAGGACACTTCTCTATAAAGGACATTTTTTATTTCCGAAATGACCATTTTTACTATTTAACAACTCTCCGGTAAGAGGACACTTCTCTATAAAGGACATTTTTTATTTCCGAAATGACCATTTTTACTATTTAACAACTCTCCGGTAAGAGGACACCTCTCCCTAAAGGACAGTTTGGCCGTTGCAATTAGTTGTTGTCCTTTACAGGGAGGTAGTTCTACTGTATCAAAGTTTTGTGGAAGGATGGATTCACCAACAAGTGGCACCTCAATGTCTGTATTTGCCAAAACTGATGTTGTCACTCATTCTTCATCAATACCATATTGTACAGGGGGTGATGAAACCCAGAATGCATTGTTTTTAAATGCACTTTTAAAGGGAGAGGTGCCTCTCTCTAGGTACATGAATATAATTCTCCCGTAATTTTATATTGTATAATTATGTCAGATACGAACCCACTCCTACAAGAGTAGACTGCGACCTGAACGCAGCGCCTTAGACCACTCGGCCATTCTGACTGATCAATTGTATAACCATCATTTGTATAATTATTATATATGAAAAAACAACAGAAAAAAAAAAAAAAAGTGGGTCAGGTTGTTGATATTAAAAAATAAAGAGAGCATATCCTGACCACGAGCACATGTGCTTTTTAGATGGCAGAGCGCCATCTAGTGGAGTAAAAATAAGACTCTTGATTTATCAAGAAAAGCCATCCACGAACGCGTTTCGCACTGATGCGCGCTTGTCAGCGGGAAGCAGGCTGAAATATATTCATATAGATATAAATGTAATCGAAGCTGTCACTATACTGATGAGGTCCAAAGCTTGAAACCATGATATACAGGTTGTTGGCTTTTGTCTGAATTTGTCCAAAACAGGTGTTGTGGTTTATTCTTTATCATCACTAGTAAATTCTTTTTTTACTAGGGTGATACAATAATGCCATCATTCTGATGTACATTTAAAGGGAGAAATGCTTCTTTTGGTATACCTACATATATTTATACACAAATAAATTTACTGGCAATGCGCTTCTTTTAAATATCATCAAATATTATCTCTACAGACCTTACTGCAATGATATGAGTTATTGAATGAGAGGGCTTGGCTCACCAAACCAATCCAATACAATAGTAGAGCGGTCAAGAGATTAATTTAGCGAAACCGCTGAGAGGGTTCACTACTGATGAGCCAAGCCCTCTCATTCAATAACTCATATCATTGCAGTAAGGTCTGTAGAGATAATATTTGATGATATTTAAAAGAAACGCATTGCCAGTAAATTTATATGTGTAAAATTTTAACAATAGAATGCAATTAAATTTAATTTACTAATATACATACACATTTATTTATACATAAATGCACGCATGTTTTAAAGAGAATACGTTGCGTGCATCCTACTTTGTCCTGCTTGCATTGCACTTAACTACCTATCTGCTTTGTCT